TCTATTTGCACATCATCTCTTGCACATCTATCATTCCAGTGTTAATACTAATTGTAATTATTTTGCACTATGGCCTATTTATTGCCTTACCTCCATAACATGCTACATTTGCACACACTGTATATATATTTTCTGTTGTATTTTTGACTTTGTTTTGTTTTACCCCATATGTAACTCTGTGTTGTTGTTTTTATCGCACTGCTTTGCTTTATCTTGGCCAGGTCGCAGTTGTAAATGAGAACTTGTTCTCAACTGGCTTACCTGGTTAAATAAAGGTGAAATAAAAATACAATAAATAAACTCACTTTTCTGTTTTCCTGACAAATGTATATAGCCATGTAGTTCTTACAGCAACAGATCAACTACAGTGAGGGAAAAAAGTATTTGATCCCCTGCTGATTTTGTACATTTGCCCACTGACAAAGAAATGATCAGTCTATAATTTTAATGGTAGGTTTATTTGAACAGTGAGAGACAGAATAACAACAAAATAATCCAGAAAAACGCATGTCAAAAATGTTATAAATTGATTTGCATTTTAATGAGGGAAATAAGTATTTGACCCCCTCTCAATCAGAAAGATTTGTGGCTCCCAGGTTTCTTTTATACAGGTAACGAGCTGAGATTAGGAGCACACTCTTAAAGGGAGTGCTCCTAATCTCAGTTTGTTACCTGTATAAAAGACACCTGTCCACAGAAGCAAGCAATCAATCAATCAGATTCCAAACTCTCCACCATGGCCAAAACCAAACAGCTCTCCAAGGATGTCAAGGACAAGATTGTAGACCTACACAAGGCTGGAATGGGCTATCGCCAAACAGCTTGGTGAGAAGGTGACAACAGTTGGTGCGATTATTCGCAAATGGAAGAAACACAAAATAACTGTCAATCTCCCTCGGCCTGGGACTCCATGCAAGATCTCACATCGTGGAGTTGCAGTGATCATGGGAACGGTGAGGAATCAGCCCAGAACTACACGGGAGGATCTTGTCAATGATCTCAAGGCAGCTGGGACCATAGTCACCAAGAAAACAATTGGTAACACACTACGCCGTGAAAGACTGAAATCTTGCAGCGCCCGCAAGGTCCCCCTGCTCAAGAAAGCACATATACAGGCCCATCTGAAGTTTGCCAATGAACATCTGAATGATTCAGAGGAGAACTGGGTGAAAGTGTTGTGGTCATATGAGACCAAAATGGAGCTCTTTGGCATCAACTCAACTCGCCGTGTTTGGAGGAGGAGGAATGCTGCCTATGACCCCAAGAACACCATCCCCACCGTCAAACATGGAGGTGGAAACATTATGCTTTGGGGGTGTTTTTCTGCTAAGGGGACAGGACAACTTCACTGCATCAAAGGGACGATGGACGGGGCCATGTACTGTCAAATCTTGGGTGAGAACCTCCTTCCCTCAGCCAGGGCATTGAAAATGGGTCGTGGATGGGTATTCCAGCATGACAATGACCCAAAACACACGGCCAACGCAACAAAGGAGTGGCTCAAGAAGAAGCACGTTAAGGTCCTGGAGTGGCCTAGCCAGTCTCCAGACCTTAATCCAATAGAAAATCTGTGGAGGGAGCTGAAGGTTCGAGTTTCCAAACGTCAGCCTCGAAACATTAATGACATTAATCTGCAAAGAGGAGTGGGACAAAATCCCTCCTGAGATGTGTGCAAACCTGGTGGCCAACTACAAGAAACGTCTGACCTCTGTGATTGCCAACAAGGGTTTTGCCACCAAGTACTAAGTCATGTTTTGCAGAGGGGTCAAATACTTATTTCCCTCATTAAAATGCAAATCAATTTCTAAAATTTTTGACATGCGTTTTTCTGGATTTTTGTGTTCTTATTCTGTCTCTCACTGTTCAAATAAACCTACCATTAAAATTATAGACTGATCATGTCTTTGTCAGTGGGCCAACGTACAAAATCAGCAGGGGATCAAATACTTTTTTCCCTCGCTGTAGGTCTGTTCTCTATTTGGAATCGATCACAGTAGGAGAAATTGGAGGTTCAGTTGTAAACAACAACCTTAGCTGCTACGGTTTCCTCTTGGTTCTAATTGACCCCAGATAAGCCCCCCTGTAAGTGATTCTATTTCCATGCCTGGATCTGTCCAGAAACAGCTGGCCGCATTCTGCCTTCTCCTGTGTCTGCTGTTTTCCCATGAGGCCAGTTGGTCCCAGAGTGCGTCAGCATTCTTCCTGTCTGTTTGATGTGTCTGCCTCCCTGCCCTATTGCACAATTGATGGGCATCCACCTGAACCCGATTGGATCAGAAGGACCCAGTCAGTTCACAATGAATGGGCTCGTAGCCTTAGCTAGTGATTTTAAATGTTGACAGTCTACTGATTCTACTCTATTGATTGTAAAAAGGACATGGTTTCATATTGATTGATTTATCCATGTGTGCATTTCTATGGTTGATACTGTTATAATTGACAGTTTGTCAGCCAACACTAGACTGTTGTATTAGTGTTGATAAACCAACATTACATTTACCAAAACTGTTTTGGTATTCTTACTTGTAAAGGTAATAATTTTTAGAAAATGATGGAAGTTTCATGGCTTGCTTTGAGATATTTAGACTACCTGTTGACTTGTGTTTCCCACAGAAACCTACAGGTGCTGCAGGGGGTGCCATCCCCAGAAGAAGAAACGGAAAAGTGTTCCTAGGTAAGCCTGATACTTGTATTGTCCTAAAAACTACTCGTATATCATCATGGGGAGTTCCCCTTAAACTCAATCTCCTGATGGCTTATTTACAGGACTTTGGTTATATGGCAGTAGCCCTACACTGGCCCCACACTCTTTTGCCTAAAGTGACATCTTCCCATGTCCAGAGTCGAGGCCCGGGCCCCCAGTCATTTACTGCCGCCCAACTCTAAATTTAGCTCATTTATTTGTATATGCAGTTAGTAACCGTTCTAAATCCAAAGTGCCACATGCCCGACCTGGCCTACTCCCCTCCTGCAGGGGGGTTAGTTTAAAGTGGGCCACCCCTGCCTGTCACTCGGCCGTCCTCAGCTGCTGCGCCCTGTCAACCCCACCAGCTGACACACTTATGCCATTGGCCACAATGACCGGACCGTACCAGGTTACTGACCCCTGAGTATTCTATACAATTCTTGACATTCTGTTGTGAAATTGTTAAACGAGGACTTTGCATCATACTACTCTCAGTAGAACTCAACAGCTCTGCAGCTGTGACATCTAACCCTAAACCCTAGTCCGGGTTAGCCTCACTTACTAGATGTACAGTACCAGTCAAAAGTTTGGACACACCTACTCATTCAAGTTTTAAAAAAAAGAAGAAGATTTTCTACATTGTAGAATAATAGTGAAGACATCAAAACTATGAAATAACACATGGAATCTTGTAGTAACCAAAAAAGTGTTAAACAAATCAAAATATATTTGAGATTCTTCAAAGTCGCCACCCTTTGCCTTGATGACAGCTTTGCACACTCTTGGCATTCTCTCAACCAGCTTCACCTGGAATGCTTTACCAACAGTCTTGAAGGAGTTCCCACATATGCTGAGCACTTGTTGGCTGCTTTTCCTTCACTCTGCGATCCAACTAATCCCAAACCATCTCATTTGGGTTGAGGTCGGGTGATTGTGGAGGCCAGGTCATCTGATGCAGCACTCAATCACTCTCCTTGGTCAAATAGCCCTTACACAGCCTGGAGGTCTGTTTTGGTTCATTGTCCTGTTGAAAAACAAATGATAGTCCCACTTAGCGCAAACCAGATGTGATGGTGTATCGCTGCAGAATGCTGTGGTAGCCATGCTCGTTAAGTGTGCCTTGAATTCTAAATACCAGCAAAGCACCTCCACACCATCACACCTCCTCCTCCATGCTTCACGGTGGGAACCACACATGTGGAGATCATCCATTCACCTACTCTGCGTCTCACAAAGACACAGCGGTTGGAACCAAAAATCTCAAATTTGGAATCATCAGACCATAGGACACATTTCCACGGGTCTAATGTCCATTGCTCTTGTTTCTTGGCCCAAGCAAGTCTCCTCTTCTTATTGGTGTCCTTTAGTAGTGGTTTCTTTGCAGCAATTCGACCATGAAGGCCTGATTCACGCAGTCTCCTCTGAACAGTTGATATTGAGATGTCTGTTAGTTGAACTCAGAGACGCATTTATTTGGGCTGCAATCTGAGGTGCAGTTAATTACCGATATCTGAGGCTGGTAACTCTAATGAACTTATCCTCTGTAGCAGAGGTAACTCTGGGTCTTCCTTTCCTGTGGCGGTCCTCATGAGAGCCAGTTTCATCATAGCGCTTGATAGTTTTTGCGACTGCACTTGAAGAAACTTTCAAAGTTCTTGAAATGTTCTGGATTGACTGACCGTCATGTCTTAAAGTAATGATGGACTGTCGTTTCTTGCCATAGTATGGACTTGGTCTTTTACCAAATAGGGCTATCTTCTGTATATCACCCCTACCTTGTCACAACACAACTGATTGGCTTAAATGCATTAAGAAGGAAATAAATTCCACAAATTAACTTTTAACAAGGCACACCTGTTAATTGAAATGCATTCTAAGTGACTACCTCATGAAGCTGGTTGAGAGAATGCCAAGAGTGTGCAAAGCTGTCATCAAGGCAAAGGGTGGCTACTTTGAAGAATCTCAAATCTAAAATACATTTGGATTTGTTTTACACTTTTTTTGGTTACTACATGATTCCATGTGTGTTATTTCATAGTTGTGATGTCTTCACTATTATTCTACAATGTAGAAAATAGTAAAAATAAAGAAAAACAAATGCAAGTACACACCCCATTTTTGTATTTGATAACCCACCTGTCAGTTACACTCTAACAAATCACATGATATCAGAAATGCATTAATCACCTGAAACACCTACTATATTCTATCATATGTATTTGATCCTATCTAGCCAAGCCAAATGCTTCGTGAAAGGCACAGGCCAATCAATGGTATGAATCATCAGTCACTGTTTTATGGTAACTGAATGTCAATGTCTGCTTCCTCTCTTGAAGATTTAGAACTAAACTGTGATTTTAACGGAGATGAGTATGTGTGTGAAGACGAGGCCAAGCTCGTCATATTTCCAGACCACTTCGAGATCCCCTTACCAAATATTGAGGAGTTGCCTGCACTGGTCAGTGAGTGTGGGCCCGTGCCCTCTGTGTGCCATATATTCTGAAGGGAAACGGTGGTTCACGTACCATCCTTTGCCTTGCTTATCATGTTTTCCGATGCCATAGGTATCATGTGCTTTTCTTTTTGTTGCATATGCTGTGTTATTGTTTTGTTCACCACAGGGTCTTATGGTTGTAAAAGCCATTCTGTGCATGTATGGATAAATCGGTAACACTTTACTTGACATCCAGTATCGTAATACGGTCATAACCTGTCATAATTTGGTCATATATCTGTCATGACCCATATATTTACACCTGTTGTGACATGTATTGCATTATTTTATGGCTGGTTATGACGCCTACATAAGAGTGTCAACTCACATTTATTCAAATTTAGTTTTTTCCCTGCCAAGAAGTTTCCTTTCGTTTGAAAGTTTGTTTCTTAAATCCTTTGTTGTAATGAGTTTTTAGTCATGTTTTTTTCATTTTAAATAACTTGTAGAAAATACACTATGACCCTGTCATGAAGCATTATGACCATCCTGTGTCATTTTACTTGGACTAAGAAAATAGACTTTCTGACACTGTCGAAGCATTATGACCATCATAATCATATAAGCAAGATAGGCCTATTATGTACATCCCCTTATGTCAGTCATCAGTCAAAAAGAGGGTGTCTTGTCCTGCTCCTGAAATCTGATCCGGCATTCATCCCAGTCATCAGCAACAGAGCATTGGGGTAGGCGCATGTGTTGACATGTAGGCTATGGTGTAATGAATGTTTTGCGTTGTGTGGTAGGTTTTGTGGGTTTTTACACTCATGTAGGTGTCATAACCTGCCATACAATATGTCACAACAGGTCTAAATATGTCATGACTGTGTTATGACCATATTATAACTGGTTATGACAAGTTATATCAGCTGTTATGACATATTATGACATGGTATGATGCTGGGTGTCAAGTAAAGTGTTACCGATAAATCAAATCAAAGTTTATTGGTTGCGTACACAGATTTGCAGATGTTATCGCAGGTGCAGTGAAATGCTTGTGTTTCTAGCTCCAACTAAATAAACAGTACACACATATTCCAAATTTAATAAATTAAGACATATCAGAACGAGCAATGTCAGAGCACGGAATATATGCAGTATCTCACAAAAGTGAGTACACCCCTCACATTTTTGTTAATATTTGAGTATATCTTTTCATGTGACAACACTGAAGAAACTTTGCTACAATGAAAAGTAGTGAGTGTACAGCTTGTATAACAGTGTACATTTGGTGTCCCCTCAAAATAACTCAACACACAGCCATTCATGTCTAAACCGCTGGCAACAAAAGTGAGTACACCCCTAAGTGAAAATGTCCAAATTGGGCCCAATTAGCCATTTTCCCTCCCCTTTTTCAATGGACTCATTAGTGTTACAAGGTCTCAGGTGTGAATGGGGAGCAGGTGTGTTAAATTTGGTGTCATCGCTCTCACACTCCCTCATACTGGTCACTGGAAGTTCAACATGGCACCTCATGGCAAATAATTCTCTGAGGATCTGAAAAAAAAGAATTGTTGCTCTACATAAAGAAGATTGCCAAGACCCTGAAACTGAGCTGCAGCACAATGGCCAAGACCATATAGCGGTTTAACAGGACAGGTTCCACTCAAAACAGGCCTCGCCATGGTTGACCAAAGAAGTTGAGTGCACGTGCTCAGCGTCAAATCCAGAGGTTGTCTTTGGGAAATAGACGTATGAGTGCTGCCAGCATTGCTTCAGAGATTGAAGGGGTGGGAGGTCAGCCTGACAGTGCTCAGACCATACGCCGCATACTGCATCAAATTGGTCTGCATGGCTGTCGTCCCAGAAGGAAGCCTCTTCTAAAGATGATGCACAAGAAAGCCCGCAAACAGTTTGCTGAAGACAAGCAGACTAAGGAAATGGATTACTGGAACCATGTCCTGTGGTCTGATGAGACCAAGAAACTTATTTGGTTCAGATGGTGTCAAGCGTGTGTGGCGGCAACCAGGTGAGGAGTACAAAGACAAGTGTGTCTTGCCTACAGTCAAGCATGGTGGTGGGAGTTTCATGGTCTGGGGCTGCATGAGTGCTGCCGGCACTGGGGAGCTACAGTTCATTGAGGGAACCATGAATGCCAACGTACTGTGACATACTGAAGCAGAGCATGATCCCCTCCCTTCGGAGACTGGGCCGCATAACGACCCCAAACACACCTCCAAGACAACCACTGCCTTGCTAAAGAAGCTGATGGTAAAGGTGATGGACTGGCCAAGCATGTCTCCAGACCTAAACCCTATTGAGCATCTGTGGGGCATCCTCAAACGGAAGGTGGAGGAGTGCAAGGTCTCTAACATCCACCAGCTCCGTGATGTCGTCATGGAGGAGTTGAAGAGGACTCTAGTGGCAACCTGTGAAGCTCTGGTGAACTCCATGCCCAAGAGGGTTAAGGCAGTGCTGGAAAATGATGGTGGCCACACAAAATATGTACACTTTTTACACTGTTATACAAGCTGTACTCTCACTACTTTACATTGTAGCAAAGTGTCATTTCTTCAGTGTTGTCACATGAAAATATATACTCAAATATTTACAAAAATGTGAGGGGTGTACTCACTTTTGTGAGCTATTGTATATACATATAATGTATATACATTTACACTGAGTATACCAAACATTAGGAATACCTTCCTAATATTGAGTTGCAAGTGACATCAATAAGGGATCATACCTTTCACCTGGTCAGTCTGCCATGTTTTATACACTCAGTGTATATACAGTAGTAGTGTGTAAAGATAGTATGGACAGTATATGAATAGAAAAGGTGTGTACAGCAGTAGTTATTAGTGGTACAATTGCAGTAGTGATTCCAGTGGTGCGAAGCAGGGTTGGGGTCAATTCCATTTAAATTCCAGTCAATTCAGGAGGTACACTGAAATTTCAATTTTCTTCAATGCTTTTCAATTAAAGAACAGTTGGAATTGGAATTTGGTTTACTTGACGACAAACCTGGTATGAAGTAACACTGGTTGTGTTAAGCATATGCCTATATACATTTAGTATAATTTTTTTTACATTTTAGTCATTTAGCAGACGCTCTTATCCAGAGCGACTTACAGTTAGTGAGTGCATACATTTTTCATACTGGCCCCCCGTGGGAATGGAACCCACAACCCTGGCGTTGCAAGTGCCATGCTCTACCAACTGAGCTACAGGAGGGACTAGTGGGCAGGAGTGTTGGGAAGGACTGTTGCTTCCCCTTTTATATCTACATTATAATCTTTTAAATATCTGCATCAAAATGAAGGAAATTTTACTTAAAAATACGGATTTTGATAACATATAACATATGCCATTTAGCAGACGGTTTTATCCAAAGCGACTTACAGTCATGCGTGCATACATTTAACGTATGGGTGGTCCCGGGAATTGAACCCAATACCCTGGCGTTACAAGCGCCATGCTCTACCAACTGAGCTACAAAGGACCACATGTTATTACTTTATCCGTTTAAGTTATTACATTATTAATAAAATACGTTTTTACACACCTGATAATGTAATAAGTTATTACCATATCTGGGGGAAATTATTACGTTATCATTCAACCGTTTTAATAAGTTATCAGGAGATTTAATAGATTATCTGTTTTTTGTTAGGTTAATAAAAAAACACATATTACATGATTAAAAGTGACCTTATTTGGTGTTATTACGTTATCCCCTGTTACAGGCTTACTCTCCTACCAGTGCTAGTGAAAGACAAATCAGCGAGACATTATAATGATACTCTATTATATGATTTAACACAGTTTCAGGAACATATACTGTCTCATCCTCACTGATCTAATTGGGATCAGGTTATATATCCTCCTGTATGCACAACAGTCCTAGACCTGTTACTAGTCCTAGTGTTATTATGTCAGTGATCTCCCCAGTCAGTAGATCTAATGGCTCGTGTGTGTCCCATGACGCCCAGGTGACAATAGCCTGCGATGCCGTGCTCAACGCCGCGTCGGCCTACAAAAAACAGGAGCCCGACTCCTGGGAGGAGGAGATCCAGGTTTCCAAACATGCCAGGAGTCTCCGACAGCAGGACAACGGCGTGAGGATCCCACCCAGGTAAATAACTGCCTACTGATTGGACTGACAACTGTTATGCAATGATGTAGAAACACCAATGTGGTGGACGGTGGCTTCAGACCAACGTCCCCGTCAGCCATCTGTAGAATATGGATGTCTGGTATAATTTTGTGCGCTTGTGTTTCTGCTAGTTTGTGGGTCCTCTGGTGTTTCTTGTGTGGTTTAGGGGGTCCTTCTGAGTTACTTAATGCAGGGGTTCTCTAACTTTTTGGGTCCGGCGACCACTTTTGTGATAGCAAATTCATCAGGGACCCCTTCATGATCAGAACAACTCGAGTGAGATATATAAAATAGCATACAAGGAGTTTTACTATGACTTTGGCAGTGCATGGCCGGATTAACCAAGTCTCTGGACCTGGGAAGGAAAATGTTTAAAGGCCTGCCTCTTGGCATCGGAGAGAAAACGTTGCCGTTTTCAAGCTAATTTCATGCAATTGTTTTTTATTATTATTTTTACTTTTACCCCCCTTTTTCTCCCCATTTTCGTGATATCCAAATGGTAGTTAGTCTTGTACGGACTCGGGAGAGGCAAAGGTCGAGAGGGCAGAGAGATGTTTGGTTGTTGCAGCTTTAAAGCTAATATCCTGCAATACTACACATTTTGCCGTGAGGCATTGAGAAAACGTTGCTGTTTTAAAGGCCCAGTGCAGTCAAAAATGTGATTTTTCTGTGTTTTATATACACAGAGTATACAAAACATTTAAGAACACCTGCTCTTTCCATGACAGGCTAACCAGGTGAATCCAAGTGAAAGCTATGATCCCTTATTTTTGTTACTTGTTAAATCCACTTCAATCAGTGTAGATGAAGGGGAGTAGACACGTTAAAGAAGGATTTTTAAGCCTTGAGATAATTGAGACATGGATTGTCTGTGTGCCATTGAGGGTGAATGGGTAAGACAAAAAATTGAAGTGCCTTTGAATGAGGTACAGTAGTAGGTGCCAGGCACACAGGTTTGAGTGTGTCAAGAACTGCAACGCTGCTGGATTTTTCACGCTTAAGTTTCCAGTGTGTATCAAGAATGGTCCACCACCCAAAGGACATCCAGCCAACTTTACACAACTGTGGGAAGCATTGGAGTCAACATGGGCCAGCAGCATCCCTGTGAAACACTTTCGACATCTTGTAGAATCCATGCCCTGACTAATTGAGGCTGTTCTGAGGGCAAAAGGAACGGGTGCAACTCAATATTGGGAAGATGTTCCTTAATGTTTGGTATACTCAGTATATATTTCCACTCTGAGGCCGGAATAATATTGTGAAAATGATAATGCCCTTTCAGTGTAAGAGCTGTTTGAAAAGACTGCCTGAAATTTCAGCCTGTTTTGGTGACATCACTAGGCGGTAAATTAGTTAATAGACCAGTAAGGAGTTCCAAACCTCTCTGCCAATAACAGCTTGTTTTCAGTTTTCCCGTCCCAACTCAGACCACTCCCAGACAGTCCTACCAAAATGATTGCTTGAGGAATTGCTCTTTTTAAGAAGATATTTTTGTTTATCTTTTACATTTTTATTGAAAATAAGGTACTGAATTGTTACCCAGAAATTATTTGATATTTATACTGAACACAAATATAAATGGAACATGCAACAATTTCAACGGTTTTACTGAGTTACAGTTCATATAAGGAAATCAGTAAATTGAAATAAATGAATTAGGCCTAATCTATGGATTTCACATGACTGGGCAGGGGTGCAGCCATGGGTGGGCCTGGGAGGGCATAGGCACATTTTTAGAGTGGCCTTTTATTGTCCCCAGCACAGGTGCACCTGTGTAATGATCATGCTGTTTAATAAGCTTCTTGATATGCCACACCTGTCAGGTGGAAGGATTATCTTGGCAAAGGATAAATGCTCACTAACAGGGATGTAAACACATTTGAGATGAATAAGCTTTTTGTGCATATGGGAAATTTCTGGGATCTTTTATTTCAGCTCATGAAACATGGGACCAACACTTTACATGTTGCATTTATATTTTTGTTTAGTATAGATAAAAAAACGGCTGCGTTGGACCTTTTTAAAGCTTGAATTAAAGTGCATTTATGTAAAAAAAAGGTACAATAATTGGGGTGGGGAATACAAGAGGTATTGTGTTGAAAAATAATTTATGGAATACTGTCGATACCAATATCCCTGTGAGCCTTCCAGGCCCATGTTGTCCAGGGTTAAGAACATAAATTGTAAATTAGTATTACATTGTATTGCACCCTCAACTTATTCCACGGATCCCAAAATGTGTTTATTCTGTTAGTAATATGCATGAAAACAATTAAATGTAGAATAAAAAAAAATATATATATTTTAGAGATCTGGCTGTGGAACCCCTGCAGTACCTCTGCGGACCCCACTTTGGGAACACTTTACTTAATGTCCCTCCACTTTACTTGTGGGATTCTGCCCCCATATCAAGGAATCTCTCCTGGTTTAATATTCCAAAGGACACATAGGCCTACATACCCAGAAAGACTATGCTCTCTTTCTGATTTATTAAACTGGCTTGGTCGCCATAGGTAGACGTCTCAGCAACTGGTCAAGCAATTTCCTGTGCTGAGGATGGTAATTATGAACGGTAGGGAAATTAGATGGGTGCAAATGCGGCTGGGCCACTCTGTAGATGAGACTGAAGGTTACCACACTAAATATAACCCCAAGCAGACAACAATTGCAGACAGACACCCATGTGCAGCTGCATCAACTTTGTCACTCTTTGAGGTGCACAAAACATGATGGGACACACCAGAGCACTTGGATTAACTTGGCTGACCCATTTCTCAGCAACTTTCAAATCAACAGGTGTTTTCTTAGGTGTCTGAAGCCAAGTTACTCTGTAATGTTAGTGCTTTTTGCCTGACATGGAAGTTACTCCTATTATTTAGCATTAAGAAGCACTAGCGTTAAGAAGTGCTTTATAATGAGAAATGTTAAACACACGAGTGTCCTACCCTTTTTATTGAACATAATTCAGGTCAATAAATTAACTCCAATGAGAGAGAATGCTTTTCGACCATTCTTGCCATTTTGTCCTGCAAGGAATAACAACACTGAAAAAAATATATAAGAGCTAAGCTATTTAGCAACATGTGATATGACTGAATGTTTCCCCGTTCCCCTCTCTTTTCAGTGGCTGGAAATGTCAAAAGTGTGAGATGAAAGAGAACCTGTGGCTGAACCTGTCGGACGGAGCGGTGCTTTGTGGGAAGTGGTTCTTTGATGGTGCCGGAGGAAACGGCCATGCCTTGGACCACTTCAAAGACACCAACTTCCCCCTGGCAGTCAAGCTGGACAACATCACCCCAGACATAGCAGGTCAGTGACACATATTGGGGAAAACAAACTTGGCCTGATTTCAGTGTTTTAATTCTTCCATTAGTATAAAGCAGACAGCCCCTATTAAACTGTCCCTTGAGTTGTGTGTTGTGTATAAACTGACCATAAATCTCCTTCAATTTGTTGTTTTGTAAGTAATCAGTGTAAATGTATGAGTAGCAATTAACTTGTAACTAGGTTTAACTGTTTTGATTTTCTCTCTCAGATATTTATTCGTTCGATGAAGAAGAAGCAGTCCTGGACCCACAAATATCCGAACACTTGCAACACTTTGGAATAGACATGATACAGATGCAGTGGGTATGTCTCACCATCGTTGTAGGAATACAATTTGTGATTTTCAACAAATACTGCCTGTCAATGTCACCAAAAGTAACCTATTTCAAACAGCCATTTCCATTTCACAGAGAATGTGGGCCTAGAATAATATCAACCATCTCTGGGTATGGCTGGACCCCCATTTTGAATGTCCACTCCCTCCTTTTATTCCATTGATTTGAATAGGATGGAACAGAAAATGGCCACCACAACACAAACAACATGCGGCCACGAGTCAGTGAGTGGGAGGTGATCCAGGAGTCTGGCATGAAGCTGAAGGCAGTGTATGGCTCGGGTTTCACGGGCATCAAGAACCTGGGCAACAGCTGCTACCTGGGCACCACCATGCAGGTCCTCTTCAGCATCCCTGAGTTCCAGAGGGCGTAAGTATCACTAGCATCTGGGAGGGTGTGGGAGAGGGATAGAGGGAGAGTGAGAGAGAGGCATCCAGAATGGACCAGAATTAACATACTAAATCAGGACGTTGGTGGGGGGAGGGGTCATGTTTCGCCCTCATACAACAACACCGATAAAGATGACTATGAAAGAAAAGTGACTTGACCTAAAGGTCTTATTACACGTTTTGTACACATCTATTGGATAATAGTTGCACAACAATACCTACAGTACTGTAAGTGGCAGGCTTATACGAGTGGATGAACGTAGTGTTCAATCTCATATTTTCCCTCTAAAAAATCTCTCCTGGACTCATACGATTTATTTTACAGTAGCATGTGTATGATGTCTGTTTTTAATCTCTAGGTATGTTGGAAATCTACAGAGGATATATGACTACTCACCTCTTGACCCCAGCACGGACTTCAGCACACAAATGTAAGTAAATGCACAGTTAAATAACATTGTTGTCATGTTTATGACCTTCACCATGTTGATTTTGATTTAGCTTGTCACATAAATCAGCAAGTTGTTTACCACTGGTGTTTCCCAATCTATTTTGTTCTTAGTAGTTTGAGTAGCTGTTAAAATGCAAGCATGTGTAATGAGTCATATGTGTTTGGTCAATCATTTAATTGCTTTCCTTTTTTATTTGTATGTTGATGGTGGAGATGGTGTTAGCAAACAGCTTTTGTTCTTAGTCAAGTTTGAGCAGCTATTACAATGCGAGCTTGTGTAATAGGACAGGCCATATTGGTTTGTCACTAATCCATTGGTTTCCTTTTGTTTTTGTTTATCCACCAGGGCTAAACTGGGCCACGGACTCCTCTCAGGCATGTACTCCAAACCACCAATGAAATCCGAGCTCATTGAACAGGTGACGAAAGAAGAATACAAGGTATTAGACTGGGTACGTTCAGCTCGATATCTGGGTATAATGTGAGCATGCAAAATTACAGACTGACAACTGGCAATTTGGGAGATGAGAGTGTATTTGTTTTGTTTTGTGGTTTCCAGATAAGTAGGCGAAAGAGCTGTGGGCAACTAGTGTACTGTACTTTTCCTCTCTAGTCATTATTCAGCCGTTTAGTTTTTTTTTACTTCTAGTAATGCAAGTGTAATATAATGAGGAGTCTGCATTCAGGTCAGAACAGAATGTTATTGGTTTCCGATCGTCCTCATTACATGAACAAGCAAAAATAAGTCTATGCTGGTAGTGTGAACAATGCATAAGCATTTGCAAAAACGTCTTTGTTCTGCTCTGTCTTCATTACTTTTTCCTCTGTTCACATTTCTTGATATAAAAAAATAAGTTGCGGAATAGTCGCTAGAAAAAACCCAGACACATTGAATCGAGATGAGTATGAGCTTTGCCTCTATGACACAATGAGCACAGTTACATGCACACAATTATACGATTATTGTGGATAGTCAGATTAATAATATAATAGTTTGTTTAAAATGTTTACATGCTTTGCAAGAATAATGATTTCCCTAATCTGTTTACGTGGACACATCTGAAATCGGGCTACTTGATGGGACTTTAGATAAATGCAGAAAATCGCCAATCAAAATAAACGTTTTAATACCATGACTGTTATTTTTGCGAAGTCTATTTGATTCTGAGTATGGACATATAAAGTTTGTAAATCAAATCAAATCAAATTTTATTTGTCACATGCACCGAATACAACAGGTGTAGACCTTACAGTGAAATGCTTACTTACAAGCCCTTAACCAACAATGCAGTTTTAAGAAAGAAACCAAAAAAAATCATACAAAAATACAATATAAAAGAATATAAAATAAAAGTAACAAATAATTAAAGAGCAGCAGTAAAAATAACAATAGCGAGGCTATATACAGGGGGTACCGGTACCGAGTCAATATGCGGGGGCACCGGTTAATTGAGGTAATATGTACATGTAGGTAGAGTTATTAAAGTGACTATGCATAGATAATAAACAGAGAGTAGCAGCAGCGTAAAAGAGGGGGGGGAGGGCAATGCAAATAGTCTGGGTAGCCATTTGATTAGATGTTCAGGAGTCTTATGGCTTGGGGGTAGAAGCTGTTTAGAAGCCTCTTGGACCTAGACTTGGCGCTCCGGTACTGCTTGCCGTGTGGTAGCAGAGAGAACAGTATATGACTAGGGTGGCTGGAGTCTTTGACAATTTTTAGGGCCTTCCTCTGACACCACCTGGTATAGAGGTCCAGGATGGCAGGAAGCTTGGCCCCAGGGATGTACTGGGCCATACGCACTACCCTCTGTAGTGCCTTGCGGTCGGAGGCCGAGCAGTTGCCATACCAGGTAGTGATGCAACCAGTCAGGATGTTCTCGATAGTGCAGCTTTAGAACCTTCTGAGGACCCATGCCAAATATTTTCAGTCTCCTTAGGGGGAATAGGTTTTGTCGTGCCCTCTTCACGACTGTCTTGGTGTGCTTGGACCATGTTAGTTTGTTGGTGATGCGGACACCAAGGAACTTGAAGCTCTCAACCTGCTCCACTACAGCCCCGTCGATGAGAATGGGGGTGTGCTCGGTCCTCTTCTTTTTCCTGTAGTCCACAATCATCTCCTTTGTCTTGATCACGTTGAGGGAGAGGTTGTTGTCCTGGCACCACACGGCCAGGTTTCTGACCTCCTCCCTATAGGCTTTGTCGTCGTTGTTGGTGATCAGGCCTACCACTGTTGTCATCAAATGTGAACCATTTTTAAGATCCATACTTTCAGTTTTTTCGTATTTACTTCACATAAGAGGGGAGGTTTGCACTGCTGGTGCTGGCACATGCGCAGATCAAATACACTGCTGGAAAGCTGATTAAGCTGTTTACATGTCCTAATAATTTGAAAGATCGCTCAGAAAACCAGGTGTTTTAATCGACGTATGCTTACTTACATTTTGACCTTACGCCGATTAAGATAAGCAGAGTAAGGTTTTTACATGACTATTTCCATACTCGGCCTACTGCCGTAATCAGTTTAATATCGAATTATACTGAACAAAAATATAAACGCAACATGTAAAGTGTTGGTCCCATGTTCCATGAGCTGAAATAAAAGATCCCAGAAATGTTCCATACGCACAAAAAGCTAATTTATCTCAAATTTGTTTACATCCCTGTTAGTAAGCATTTCTCCTTTGCCAAGATAATCCATCCACCTGACAGGTGTGGCATATCAAGATGCTGATTAAACAGCATGATCATTACACAGGTGCACCTTGTGCTGGTGACAATAAAAGGCCACTCTAAAACGCCATATATGTCTGAAGTTTTGAGGGAGCGTGCAATTGGTATGCTGACTGCAGGAATGTCCACCAGAGCTGTTGCCAGGTAATTGATGGTAATTTCTCTACCATAAGCCGCCTCCAATGTCATTTTAGAGAATTTGGCAGTACGTCCAACCGGCCTCACAACCGCAGACCACGTGTAACCACGCCAGCCCAGGACCTCTGCATCCGGCTTCTTCACCTGTGGGATCGTCTGAGAACAGCCTCCCGGACAGCTGATGAAACTGTGGGTTTGCACAACCGAAGACTTTCTGTACAAACAGTCAGAAACTGTCTCAGGGAAGCTCATCTGCATGCTCGTCGTCCTCCCCAGGGTCTTGACCTGACTGCATTGGGGAAAATGGCAGACATGTGGGCGAGCGGTTTGCTGATGTCAAGGTTGTGAACAGAGTGCCCCATGGTGGTGGTTGGGTTACGGTATGGACAGCGAATACAATTGCATTTTATCGATGCCAATTTGAATGCACAGAGATACCGTGACGAGATCCTGAGGCCTACTGTCGTGCCATTAATCCGCCACCATCACCTCATGTTTCAGCATGATAATGCACGGCCCCATGTCGCAAGGATCTGTACACAATTCCTGGAAGCTGAAAATGTCCCAGTTCTTCCATGGCCTGCATACTCGCCAGACATGTCACCCATTGAGCATGTTTGGGATGCACTGGATCGACATGTCCGACAACGTGGTCGTCAATATCCAGCAACTTCACACAGCCATTGAAGAGGTGTGGGACAACATTCCACAAGCCACTATCAACAGCTTGGTCAACTCTATGTGAAGGAGATGTGTCGTGCTGCATGAGGCAAATGGTGGTCACACCAGATACTGACTGGTTTTCTGATCCACACCCCTACTTTTTTTTTAAAAGGTATCTGTGACCAACAGATGCATATCAGTATTCCCATTCATGTGAAATCCATAGATTAGGTCCTAATGAATTTATTTCAATTGACTGATTTCCTTATATGAACTGTAACTCAGTAAAATCTTTGAAATTGTTGCATTTATATTTTTGTTCAGTGTATTAGTGTGCATGTAAACATACTCAATGTGAGATTTTACAGCGCTACGACCTTTTAAAATTGAGTCTTAAAATCCATAAGTCCATAAGTGTTCCACTTGAATTTCTCAGAAAACACTTGGTTGTCTCGACTGATCGCGTGTCAATGTTTATGATATTAGCTTATTCCGAAATTAAGACTGATATTCTATATTAATGTCTAAAATGGCTTCTCTCTTTTAGCTCATTTACCTCGTAGATAATAATCTGATTGGACTTGATAGGTGAGAGCAGCATGTTTCAAACTACAGTGCTTTCACCTATGTGGTTACAGTGCCTTCAGAAAGTATTCACCCCCCTTTTTCCACATTTTGTTATGTTACAGCCTGAATTTAAAATTGATTAAATTGAGATTTGTTGTCACTGGCGTACACACAATATTCCATAATGTCAAAGTGGAGTGATGTTTTTAGAAAATTTTACAAATTAATAAAAGATGAAATGTCTTGAGTGAATAAGTATTCAACCCCTTTGTTATGGAAAGCTCAGGAGTACAAATTTGCTTAAGTTACATAGTAAGTTGCATGGACTTGCTCTGTGTGCAATAACAGTGTTTAACATGATTTTTGAATAACTACCTCATCTCTGTACCCCAAACATACAAGTATCTGTAAGGTCCCTCAGTCGAGCAGTGAATTTCTGTTCAAATATATTTTATTGAACACACACAAGAATGGTGTATAGGTATGAAAGACATGTGTACAGTTCTTATCTAAACATAAGAGAACAGACATGAACAACAAGACCCAGAGTTCTGGACACAAAACAAATATTACAAAACACGACATACAGAACAGGGACAGGTAGAAAGAAAAAGGGTAGATGTAACCCCCCCACTTATACCCCCCTTGTTCCCCCCCCCCCCCCAAATTTGGTAGAGGGCGCTCCCCCCCCCCTTATTCCACCCTATTCCCCTCCCGACTGCTCGAATGTCGGGGCCAGCACACGCTGCCCAAAGGTAGATTACAATATGACAATTGAGAGTGCGTTAAAAAGTACAAATTCACAGTGCCAACTGGTCCAGGTAAGAGAGGAAAGGCTGCCAGATTTGATCAAATGTTGATAATTTATTGTTCAGAATATATCTAATTCTTTCTAAGTGTACAGTGTTTGCCAATTCGCTGAGCCATAATTTGGTAGAGGGCGCTTCCCTCCTTTTCCAAAACAACAAGATTAATTTTTTTGCCGAAATGAGACTGTAAGAGATGAGTTGTTTTTGGGAGTTGGTTAATCCGTTTAGGGAATCGGACACTCCCAGGATTATCAGAAGCGGGTCTGGGTCTATTGAAGTCTCCAGAACTTCAGAGAGGACCCCAAAAATTCCACACCAATAACCATACAGACTAGAGCATAGGGCAAAGCAGTGGAGTAGTGTACCCTGCTCAGCCTGACATTTATCACACATAGGGGATGTATCAGGAAATATCCTATGCAGTTTAGTTTTGGAATAGTGTAATCTGTGTAATACCTTAAATTGTATGAGACGATGTCTGGAGTTAATGGAGCAGGTGTGGATATACTCCAAGCTATCCTCCCAGTCTGCCACCGAAATATCAGTCCCTAGTTCTTCCTCCCATTTTGCCT